AAGAGGGCACTGAGCGGAGGCCTGAGGAAGGATGGGACTAGCCTCCCGGCAGAGGAGACAGCATTGGAAAGCCCTGGAGTTTAAAGGGGAAAGAAAGCAACCACATCTGGTGGGAACTTTCTAGAGAGAGAGGGAACTAGTTGTGTTTCCTTTGGCTTCGGTTTTAATTACGAAAACTTCTAGTGCTTTGTGGGGAATGGTCTGCCGTAGTTAGTAAGTGCCTCTGTGAGCTCAGCCAGCCGCAGACCGACGGCCAGGAAGAGCGAGTTCCTTTCCAGATACTACATAGCCAGCTCTGAACCCAGCGTGCTGCAAATTCTACCAGAAACGTCACCAACACCGGAAGTGAACTACATTTGGTGTCTTTGTATTACATTTCTCCTTAGCCTACTCACTGAATATCTACAATATTTAGTCTGAGTTCAAGGATTACAATAAAAATAACCTGAAAGAAAATTCTTTAGCTTTTCCTCCTAAATGCTGATCTAAATATATTTATCACTTATTTTGAAATAGTGCTTCTAGAATAAATCAGTAGCATTTTGGACCAAGTTGTATATAATATTTTATATATATTGTTATCCTTTGTAGCAGATTTATGTATTCACCTGAAGTTTAGAAGTCTTATTAGTCAGAACTCTTTTTAGATGCAAATGACCAAAGCCCAGCTCAGCTAAAAGGTAACGGGGAAGTTGGTTGAAAGAAATGAGGGTATCTTAAAACCTGAGGAAAATCTAGCAGCTAAACAGGGAAACGGCAGCTGGAACCTGGGAACTAATGGGATCACAAACCAGGGACATGAGGACACCTTCTGGGGCCTCTGCAGGGGCCTCAGCTGCACTACATGCTGGCGGCATTCTTGTGTGACTGCCTGGCTGCTGGGGGTGGGGGGTGGGCAGGAAACCAGGCTGCCACTCCCTCCGCAGCCGCATTCCGCAGGCTCTGCTGTTCCAGCAGATCCTCTGGCTCTGCCTGGGCCATACCACAGCAGCAAGGAGATGCCAGGCGTCCTGTACCCACCTGTCAGTGTCTGAAGCCGCTGCGGTGATGTTTATTATTGTGCACATTGTACGGCTGAAGCGTGGAGAAGTCAGGAATCCTGACTCAAGTCCCAGAGCTGGGAAGTGGCAGGGTTAGGGTTTGAATCCAGGCAGTCTGACAGTGGACCAGAACCAACAATCGCCACCATGTCGTATTCATCGCAACCAGCCACACCGAGGGGATGGAAGGTTTTGTTTTGCTTTTGGCTGAGGAGTAAAACAATGTAAGATTAGGATGTGGTTTTACTTCTTTTTTCCCTTATAAAAAAAGATATGACCGCTGATAACATAATGAACTGTTTTCAGATCTTTGGGGCCGCTGTTGTACTATGTTGGGGGTTCCAACCAGGGGCATTTGGCAATCTCTGGAGTTATACTCCGTTGTCCCAACCTGTGCGGTGAGTTACTACTGGCCTCTAGTGTCTACAGGCCCAGGATGCTGCTGCTAAGGATCCTACAATATGAGACAGGCCCCAGTTTTAATAGTGCTGAGGTTGTGGAACTGTACTAGGTACACTGGGCCAGTTCAAACTTAGAGTCTGTTAGGGTCGCCAAAGGAGGTATGCATGAGGCCAAAAGTGGTCAATAAATATGAATTTACGAGATTATCTGGAAACAGATGGGCTGAACCCCAAATAACACCAGCAGCTTGGTACCAGGGAGTTAGAGATTTTAAAGGACTCTAGTTGGGCTTTTTCAGAGGGGAATTCTCTGGGCAGTCTGGATCCTGGGCAAGTCCGGAGGGGAAGGAGAATGGTCTTAGCGAATGGAATGTGGTCTAAGGAAAGGGAATGTTCGTTGTGACATGGGCTACAGGTCAGTTTCCCAGGGGAGAGGGTGTCATTCCATTATTTGATCAGACCTAACAGTCTATTTGGGTTGAAGAGGAAAGAAATGCTAAAATTTTGAGTACTTGTGGAGAGTGGACATATCAGACCAAGTATGAAGCAGGTGAGGGGGTTAGGGTCACATTTGGCTAGTATGCCTCGAAAGAAGGACTAAATGGTGAAGGGGAGGTAGGAAGGTGGAGCAGACGGACTTGGCTAGTTTCAGTGTTTTCCTGAGGATCACCTGTGGCATACAAGTAAAAAGGTAAGGAAACTAACATCTCCCTTCCCCCTCCCTCCAGCAACTGTCGATGGTCTCATAGGACTAGGCCAGTGGTCGGCAAACTCATTAGTCAACAGAGCCAAATATCAACAGTACAATGATTGAAACTTCTTTTGAGAGCCAACAACCGACTTCTGCTCATGGGCCACGAAGTTTCAGTCGCATTGTATGTGTGCGCCTGCATGTGGTATTTTGTGGAAGAGCCACACTCAAGGGGCCAAAGAGCTGCATGTGGCTCGCGAGCTGCAGTTTGCCGACCACTGGACTAGAGTAATCCATTCATTGTATATTTGGTCTCATTTCTTGCTAGTGAGAGAGTTTGTATATTTGGAAACAGAAATTCCATATATATTTGAAAGCTTTTAAAAATTAAATCTGTGAAATAGTCCATTTCTAAATGGTTCTTAAAACTTATTGAATAAATTTAGTAGCCAGCTTGAAGTAATTGTTTGGATATGATTGATGATTTTGGAACAGTATTTATATTTTTCTTACTGTAAAAGTTTGGCATTATTAAATTTTTTATCAGGTATAAGAGAAGATTAAACAGTTTCCTCTTAGTGTTTACCTCAGCTAATTCATTTGTGTAAAACATTGTACAAAATCTTTTTAGTAATTTCTGTGTCATAGGGATTTTGATATAAAAAATAAGACCGATCCCTACCTCCCATTGAGAGAAGATTGTTTTGAAAGAAAGGAGACCCTTCGTTATTTACTGTATTTGTGAATAAATTAGATTGTCCTTAAAATTTTCTAAGAAATGTATATGTCAGTCCAACAAATAACTGTTATTTCTCTTTGTGGGGAGAAAGTTAGGGACTTAGGCCATTGTCTGGGGAGTAGGTGGAGGAAGAGGTATCAGCACAGGTGGCCAGAAGCACTGACTCTTTTCAAACTCTTATATGGGGATAATAATAAGTTACTCTTTCATTGATTAAAAAATACTGTTGCTTTTATGTTTTGTTTCATTTATGTTTGCCAGCAGTTCCATATTTGGAGAAAAAGTATTGAGATTGGGGTGGGGGAATATCTGTGCACTGTAGTCTCACTTCCCAATAGTTACTGCCCCTTCCAGGTTTGAATCTGACTTCCTGATGGTCCTGACATTGCCCTCTACATCCATCCACACTGAGTCATGGCAAATGCTTGCGCAGGATTTACGCCAATACCTTATTTTTACTGTTTTTCCTCTGCAAACATGTGTTATGGTAATTGCTGGATCCTTAGTACTGGTTTGCTATGTTAACTTTTGAGTTATATACATTGTATGGTTGTATCTAGTTAATATTGTTGAATAACCAGTCTGAGTAAATAATAAAATGTTTGATTAATCTTCGGAGTATAGAAAATGTAAGAAATGTTGTTTTATATGTGGTAAAAATTTTTATGTAGATTATTGATAATTGTCTTTAGTCTTGAATGGTTAAGTATGATTTGAATACTGTCTTCCTTGTATTCCCAAAGGATATGATCTACAGAAGGAAATTACCCGTTATTTAAAAATATGGTCTCAGTATTTACTTACTTGACAAATCTATTCTGATGTTCATTTAAACTGAGAATATATGCTTCAAACATTATAAAGAAGTAACCTAATATGGATTAATCAAATGTAAATATTTCAAATTATATGTAAAAATCTGATCTTTTTCCAGCCTTGTTGTATGTAACTTTTTTTGATCTGTGGAAAAGAGGACAAGAGCTATAAACTCAGAGCCACCTGTGCTTTTGTTGTGCCACATTTTCTGTGCCAGGAGCACATAGACCTGCACCTGTTGGTAATTCCGAGCAAGCCAGCCTTTGCCGAATCCCAGGCCTCTGCTTAAACTTTTTTACTGGAACTAAATGATGTTGCCATTTTTATTTTTAGGTTTGCTGGCATGGGTAATCTCATTAAGGTGCTAACCAGGGACATAGACCACAATGCAGCACATTTTTTCTTGGACTTTGAAAGTAAGTCTCTTTAGCCCTTCACAGCTGGTGCATAATGGTAAAGGTGAAAGGTGAATGATCCTCACACCACAGTGAAGGCCAGCCAGAACATTTGTTAATAAAGGATGGGGAATCAAAATTTGCATGATTTTTTCCCTTAATCATAGGCAAACATCACCATCATACGTATAATTCTTTAGTTTTTCATTTGCTAAAATCATGGTGAGTCTGTAGCCAGTGCTGTCCTTTCATTAGTCCATGAAGCAAGGAGCCTTATGATGAACATTCTGCTAGTATGCCGTGGTGACATGTGGTGACCTGCTCACGATCCTGCCACCGGCGGCAGCTACGGTCGAAGTGTGCTGCACATCAGAATCAGGACTTAAATAACTGCCACCGCTACAAACCCAAATTTGGATAGAAATAGCCCTTTATTGCATGGCATACAGGAAGTAAGTTTAACATTCTAATCTCTTAAGATGAAATGCAGAGGTGAGCTGTGGCCAAAACTCTTGATATTTGGCTTTGAAACAAATTGTTGTTTCGGCGCAATTTTAAACAAGATTACACGTGAGTAATTCTTGATCAGAAATTTCTTTTCCAGAATACAAGCACTATTGGAATACTTACAGAATTTTTCATTATAAGGCCACTGATGAGACTTGTCTTGGGAGAATTTTGCGAAGAATTAGAGCAACAGTTGTGCCATTGCGTGCAGGAAGCCACATTTCACCTCCAGGTCCTCCACATCAGCCGATGCGAGCCCAGTGTGCTGTCGCCCGAGCCCAGGCTCGGTACCTGAAGGACGAATTCATGGCCTAATGAACATTTCCCTTTTGCTGTTGAAACAAAAAATCCATTTCCAATGTTCTTTTTTGTAAAGGGATATTTTCTCTTTTCTCATTCTTGTCTTGACAGGTACCTTAACATGGGGAATCTTCTTAAAGTTTTGACATGCACAGACCTTGAGCAGGGGCCAAATTTTTTCCTTGATTTTGAAAGTGAGAAGATGATTTTATATCTTTTTCTCTTTGCCTGCAGTAGACTGCGTTTGTCTTGCACTAAATGAATGTTTCCACTTTGCCATCTGTTTAACTGCTTTGCATGACTGAGCTATGAATTGTTTGAGTAAAATTTCTGGTGCCTTCTAGAACTGCAAATCCTTTATTTATAGACTAAATTGTAAAATGCTTTTATTTGAATTTTTACAAGAGGTATCTCTTTAGTTGAGCATTTTTTACACTTTGAGATCGCAAATGAAAATATTTAAGATTCTTATATGAAAAAATTTCAGCGGAAATTTGTTAATAGAAGCAATTTTTGAGGGGAATTATTGCATTTGAGAAAAATTAAATATTAACTCTATACCTATTGAAGTATTTTAATACAAATCGGTTCTTGAAGGCCATTCAAAGCTTATTTGGGCATAATATTAAAAGGTAAGTGTGAACCTTAATTATTTAATCTTTGTCTATAATTAATTTGAAAAGTTAAGAAACTCATTATATGTACTTATTTCAAGAGTTATTTTTTTTTTCTAACTCTAAATATAAAGAAAATAATGGGTTCACAGACCTTTAAGTAATTTGCCTTCTGTTTGTTTTATGTTGCATGACCTATTGTAATATGGTCTAAGGGTGGCAGGTAAGTGTCATTGACCCCATGCATGTTGAAAAGCTTTTGCATTTTTGGCTGTCTGTCTGTATTGCTTAAGCTTGTCTGGTTGTCAAATCAAGAACAATGATATTAAATTGGTGTATTAGCGTGAATGTTGCTATTTTAACTGATCATTAGAAAATTGTTAGGAAAGGGTGAAGAGAGCGCCTTAGATTGTAAATCGTGCGATCTCTTGCATTACCACTAAGGTTAAAACATTTGAACAGATATTTAAGTACTTAAACCTTAAGACCTTTTCTGGCTTTAAAAACAAACAAATCCCTGAAAATAAATCCCCAGAGAGTCACTGCATTTTTCATCATCAACTTTTATTTAGTTTATGTGATATTATGCAATTCATTCTACTTTATGAATAATTTAAATATTTTTCTTGAAACCAGGACAGTGTCTATGCACACATTAATTTATTGTTCTACATCTTATGGAATAACTTATGGTCTCTGATATTTTTCTAATTTCATTACATTCCTATCAATGTTCTGTTAATAGTTTGGTAGTGTATGCAGGCTAGCGAAGAGTAGTAATGCTAATATCAGGACCATAAAAAATTGTGGGTTTTTAGGGAACCATGTAGTTAAATAAATATTGGTTTTCTTGACCCTTCTCAACAATTTAACAAGACTGTTTTAAGTGCATGTTTAGCATGAATTTTAATCAGCTTGGGGATGTTGAGCAGATTGCTGACTTAAAGGTTATTCTTTCAGATGAGGCAACTTACATTAAAGCTGTATTTTAGTTTATTTGCATCTATTTCAAACTTGGTCATGTATATTTTTCTGCTATTCTGTCTCCCTCTTACTCTGTCTTCAATTCCTTACATTTGCAGAATCTTGGCTCTGACACAGTCAAGATCTTGTTCAAGACTTGGCACTTGATCTTTTTATAAACCGAGCTTTAGGTTGTGGTCCAGTGAGAAGCATGAGTTTACTGTAGTGCTTAAAATATTATTTGGCCTTGGTTTCCTAATCTGGAGTAGGTTTGGATCGTTATCCTTAAATTTAAATAGTTAATTTAGTGCCAAGAAAAGGTCGGAATTGCTAACAACAACAATTAACTTGTTACGGGCAGCTATAAGTTAAAGAATGATATTGTTGCCTATATCAGCCAATGTAGAACTCTTGATTTGACACTTGCTGGTATACTGTAAGTGAAATTTAGTGAAAACATTCTGCATCCTAGGCCAGAGTTTGCCTGTTATTTCTTATTTAGATTTTTAAAGTATGTTTTCTTATGATTCTTAATCAGTTTTATCTTTCATTCGTCTTTTTTTTTTTTTTTTTTAACAAAACTTTTTGGTGAAAGCTTACCTTATGATTTGGCTACTAGAGTGACCTTCGCCCATGAGATGGGTCAAAATGGTCAACATTTAATGTGCCAGTTCCTTATGATTACAGAGAATAAAGCCACATTCTTTTATTGAATAAAATAACAAGTTCTGCATTGTTTATTTCTAGATGAACAGCAATATTTAGGTTACTATTGTAATTTAGGTTTATCTTAGACATGATTTAATGGAGTCCTAAGGGTACAAAATAAAGACTCTGCCTTAACTTTAGCGTGTGCACACAATATGCTATTTTTCACTTCAGTTCAGCATCCATTTATGCCAAGCCTCCCGCCTGCCCACAAGTAGGTGCCAGGGACGCAAAGATACAGCTCCTGCCTTTGGAGAGTTCTCAGTCTAGTGGGGTAGATAGAAATGCAGATTAATAATAAGCTTTGTGTAGTTTACATCCTAGGTGTAGCTCAGGAAGGGACTGGCTTTACCTTGCAGGGAGTGGACGTTCTGATGGTGACGTTTGAATTGGTTTGTGGAGGTGCAGTAGAACGTTTCAGGCAAATTTAGTGAAGGACATTGGAGAAGTATGTACAAAGTTACACTGTTTTCAGTTAGACCACAGTAAGAGTGTAAAAATAGGTGAATTTTTGTAAATGAGAAATAGAACCTTACTTCCTATGATTCTTTATTTTAGTGCCTTTCCATTTAATCATATATTTCTTCTAATTCTGTGTCTTTTGTGTTACCTGTGTCGTCGTCGTCCGTGTGTCTCCCCCCCCCCCCCCCCCCCATACATCTTTTACAACTATTGGTATCCACTTTTTTAGGCTAACTTTATTTTCCATTTTCCCTTTTGTATATTTTCTATTGTTTTTGCTCTGTACTTTGAAATATTTTTATTCTTATGGTCTGTCCTTATATTTTTTTTCCTCTAAAATGATACAGGATTTTATTTGTTCAAAGATGAAACTGCATAATGGTGTCCTTTAACTCATGCTGGAGGCATATTTATATCTACCACCTTGGTATCTTCTCATTCATGCAACAATTTTATTAGAAAATCTGCTCGGTACTGAGTTTGCATGCCATTCAGTGGCATGTACTATATATTGAGCCCTTCCTTGATGAAATTTATGGAGTTAGAGAATAAATATTTATTGAGCGAATGTATGAATGGATGCCAGATTAAAGCATCCTTAATCACAGTTATAATTTTCATGTGATTTTCTTTTTATCTTCCTTCTTTTGTAGCTGATCTTTGCCTCTTTTTGTACCATAACAACTTTAGTTTTTAAAAAATCTTTATTGTTGAGAGTATTACAGATTTCCCTTCTCCCATACCCAACTTCAATTTTAACACTTACTTTCAGCAACTCTTTTTAGGAAAGTGGAGTGAAATTATTATTGTACAATATTGAATTTTACCTCCAAACAGTCTGAACAACTGAAACATGCTGTAATTGCCCTTGAGCAGCTTTTAAAGAAGCCTGATGAATTAGCACTGTGCCTACTCCAGTAGTAGATGCATCCTTTTGCAATCAAACGACTATCCCTTTGTTAGCTGGCTAAGTGGCAGGCTTTTCCTTCAACTAATACAGTTTTTCATTCTTTGCTCTGAAAAATCAAAGTGACAAGTCTTGGGTGCATTATGATACCTTTTTTTTTTTTTTTTTTTTTAAACAAATGCTTTCTTTTACATAATCTTTCCCCCTCCCTAGTTTCTCACCTTTTGCATGACTTGCTGTCGGTAAAGTAGTGCTTACCTGTCTGCTATTTTCTGTTTGTCTTCATTTCTACAGCAGTCTTCAGCAGCTTTCAAAATTACAATGTGACTCTCCTGTGGCAGCTAAAACTGCTCAGTCAGTGTGGTGCTGGGGCTGTCCCACCCTTAGGGGAAACAGAAGTCTTTGCCTCTGTTTTTAAGTTTCTTGTTACTTATTAAATCTTTAATAATCAGTGATCACTCCCAAGGTCTATTCAAATCTACTTTATAATGTTTCTTTGTCTGTAAGTCTCAGTGTCACATTTTTATCTTAAAAACTAGTCACCACACCAAAAATGCATAGTAATTGCAAACTTTATAAATACCTCTTGGTTTATAACAGTCAAAATATTGTCCTTTGTCATGAATTCCCTCTTCATGAATTTAAACTATGTGTCTCCTACTGATGTTATGTCTGTAGTTTCACAGCCCACGTGAAAAAGTATAAAATTGCTGTTTTTGCATGTAAAGAGTATTTTCTCTGCTGCGCCTAGTGTAAGTATAAGAGTTATGAGATGTACTTTTTAAAAGTGTGTGTCTAAATCATGACTTTGGAGAACAAGGTCTGGCTAAATGTGAGAGGATATTACTGCTAAATGACAGGCTGATTTTAAAGTCATTTAGCAAAAATATCATTATTCACTCCTAGTAAAACATGTATAACTTTGGACACAGTCTTTTTTTAATTGGCTCCTCTTATGTAATTATTTTGTCATAGAATTTTCATTCAAAAAGTGCATGATTTCTGAAAAGAAATTTTAAAATAAGGGAACAGATGTGAGAACACAAATCCCTAAGTTGGCTTTGCACGTAAATGTTACTGTGTTATGTTTTTGTAGTACTGTCCTTGAAATTAAAATGTGGTACTGTAATTGTTGATTTAAAAAATATGTGGTATGTATTTGACTAGTTGGCAGGTTTAATAAGTGGGATTGAACTATGACTTGTCCCAAGCACAAAATAAAGTTACAGTATTTAGGCATCTGGAGTCCTAGTTTCATGTGTCAACTTAGTTTCCTTAAATTTTTTAAGGAAAGGAATAGATACAGATTATTGTGTATTTGTGGGGCGGTGGTGTGGATACAGAAACTCTTAAGCATTAGTTTAATATAACAAAGAGATCAGAAATGTTCTTAATTCATATCATAAATTAGGTAAGCAAAACAGATCAGACATGTTCTTAATTCAAATTATAAATTTGGTCTCCCTTCCCTACCCTCATAAGAGAACATTTTAGTAGGGAGAAATTCTGCCAGCATAATTCCTCTAAAACATTATGGTAATTATAATGTGTATCATTTTAAATGCTTTATGCCGTCTCTGTAGAAGCATGGCCTAGTTGAAAAGATAAAGAAAAATTCAGTTTCCTCACAGAGTGCCCTATCCCCTCCACAAGCAATGTATTAGATGGAAAAGATTTATCCTTAGGAAAAATTGACCACATCATTAAAAACAGAATTTCTAGCAGAGAGAAAGCTAGATTTAGTCACATTAACATATGTTCTGTGGCTAACACTGCAGGTGGTGGAAATACCCATATGTTTGTGTTCCTTGTCATGCTTTTTGTAACTGTAATTCTTCATTTTTTCCTCATCCTCAAGGACTGAGGAGCTCAGTTTTTACTTTAGCATTTAAAAAGCTCAGTGATAATATTGCAGCTAAAGCACCTAGCTTTCAGCGGCCCAGTGATTCTGGAGCAGTTTCATACTTTGAACTCTTCTGCGCTGGAATCTTGACCTTGTATTCATCAACAGAGAAGTTCATTTGGTATAGAATTTAAAGTGGTCCCTAGAAAAGGGCACATCTAGAAAGGATTCTTTCAAAAGTCTTTATATCAATATTCAGTCATTAAATTAACTTTATTGGAGAATAAAGTCATTTCATTCTTAAACATAGATTAGCAAGATATATTAGGCCTTTCATTTCTCTAGCATTAAAATAGATCATTACTCATGAATTTACAGTCATTACTGACAGTGACGACTGTAATGAAAAGCCAGTTATTCGTGCCATCACAATTTAAATTCGAATGATAATTCTCAAGTTCACTAATATACCAAGTCATTATTTGTATCTACAATAAATAATGTTTGGTGTTCCCTTTCTACTTTGTGATATTTACAAACTTGAGGCTAGTTGTTCAAGTATAGAACTATGGAAAAATTATCAATGTTTTCCAAGAAGTGCAGAGTTAACATTGAATAAATGTTAGTCATCTTTAGAAATTTGGATTTAGAGTTATATGTGTACTAAAAAATTCATGTGACTGTGAATTTTCTTGTGCTTTCCTGCTGTTTAGATGCCCAGCCTACAGAGTCCGAGAAGGAAATTTATAATCAGGTGAATGTAGTGTTAAAAGATGCAGAAGGCATCTTGGAGGACTTGCAGTCATACAGAGGAGCTGGCCATGAAATACGAGAGGTAAAGCACGCCATTTTCCAGTCAACTGGAATGCACTGTGTCCCTCCCTCTTTTTAATCTCTATCGTTTTCTATACTTTTAGAACTGATTGCATGGTAAAAATTATATTTAAAGAAAGATCACTTGCATTATTTCAAAAGTGGTTACAAAATATAAGGGTAAAAGGAAAACAATGTTCTATAAAAATGTATGTATTTTATGTATATTAAAAAAAATTGAGTGTTATTGGTTGATCTCACACCTGAAATTTACTGTCTCCCTGGGGGGCCCATTGGTACTTTTATGGAGGGGAGGAGTGAACACAACTTTTTCATCTAAACATCCTTGGGAAATGCTGAAATCTTCCTGTGATCTGACTCCCAGCTCTTGTCTGACTTTTTCCTCAGAGCAAATGTTCGGTGTGCTCTCCCTCGCCTTCTCCCGAACCTCTGACCCGGTCCACATTTCTTCCTATTCGTCTCATTCTCCATTTCTTCTGTCTTTCAGGAGAAGCTTAGTCTCTCTCCTTCTTACCACGACTGTGTACTCTAACATTCTTCTCCGTTTTCCTCTGGAATTTCAGTTCATCTCTTAATTCCATCTGTTCTTTCCTCTTTTACTGACTTTCTCCTTAGCATAAACACATACTCAGCAGTCCCGTTCTACCCAAAGAAACCTCCTGGCCTCTTTTTCTCATCTAAGGTAGAGTCTGTCAAACAAACAAGGCTTATTCTCTAGGATAAACCGCTAGAGATGGAGATAATGTTTTGATATATGTGTTGACAGTTTCAGTATTTTTGGAAATGAGAGTGAGAATACCTGCTCCATGACACCCTAACATTGACACTACCAAGCACCCTTGTGCGTGTTGGGCTGTGATTGGTGCTGAACTAAAATGTTCTGAGCAGCAGCAACGCTGGTGTGAAAGGAGAAGGAACCAGCATCATAAGGAGAACCATGACCTGTGGTCATGGCAGGGCAGCCTTGTCTTCAGTTCTGAACCCAGCACGGCCAGGAAAGAGTTAACTGTGCTCGCTTGTGGCAGTGGGTGGCATTTGCTGAAGCATTTGATAGTATGAGAATGAGCAGATATTCGAAATATCATTCTTAGATCCTTCAAAAAAAGTTGGCTAGGCTTCTCAAGAGAAGAAAGCAAATTTAAAGTTTTTATCTATTTGCTCATTTCCTGAGTAATAAATAAAATAAACAAGTTTCTACTTGTTATAAAACATTACTGAGACTGGGCTTGAAGCTAAAAGGATTTTTCATATACAGCAGGATAATATTACAGTTCCTTTGAAATATTCATATTAATATGAAATAAAGATTGTCAGATTTTTTAACATTAAAATATTTCTATATTGTCACATAAATGAGATTTACTTTGGACTCCTATAATGTTTAAGCATCATTTAAATTTTTTTTAAATGATGAACATTTTAAATCAAGAACATTTACATATATAGTGGCAAGCTTATAAAGCAAATTGCTTAAATAATATATAGCCCATTTAGTTCGTAGCTAATTTATTCAGAGCTTCTTTTAAATTTACCTGGTTTCAATTTTTGTTTACATTCCTGTTTTTTGGTTTTGTGTAGACAGAGTGCTAGCACCTTGGGAAAATGTAAACATTAGTACCTCCTGATCATGTTTATGAGTAGCCCCCAAGCCCTGCCGTGGGTGTGAGTTTCAGCTTTCCGATGGTGTGTTTAGCTTGTTGGAAGATGTCAGAGAAAGCAAACCAGGTTGTTGAGAAAGACATTAAGTTTCATAAAGGGTTAATAAAGCATCTATAAGCAAAATAAAAATACAAATAAGAAAATACATTTCTTTGGGAAGAACCCTCTAAATTAATAGAAAATTGCTTAGTAGTTTGAAAGACGGGAATAGAGAAAGGCATTTGCACGTCAAATTAGGATCTATAGATTGTGGTCTATTTCCTCTCCTTTCAGATTTGAAACTAGTTTTTATCTTATTATTTGGGAAAACCCAAGAAAACTTGGATTCCAGAATAATACTTTAGTTATAGGAAGTAAGTGTGACAATTTCTGAATTCCATCTTTCAAGTTGATTTGGGTTCTTAATTTGGTAAGTCTCTAAACTACTTTGGACCCTGGAATTTGAATTATTCAAAGTTTCATACTCTGTTCCACAGTTGGCATCTTATTTGATTGATTGCCTAACTTCCCGGTTTCTTTTTATTCTGCTAAAATTTTTTTTTGAAAGAGTACTGCTAAGAAAGCCTGTCTGTGATATGCAAAACAATATAAATGGTTTCTTTTTGTGGTTCTAAAAGGTATCAAGGCGTAATATATTTAACCAGCATGCATGTGTCATCCTATTCCATTATATCCATGCCCATTGCAAGGATAACTAAAAGTGTGTATGATAGCGTTAAGTATCCAGGGTGTTGGGAAGGCCCTCTCTCAGCATTCCTGTGTCCATTGTTCTGTATTTTATAGATTGTTCCAGGGTTTCCAATATTTGTTAAGACATATATTTTAATGTAAAAAGAATGCTCCTGGACTTTTAGAACTCTTAACTTTTTTCCCCCCCTTTCAATTTTGAAGGCCATCCAGCATCCAGCAGATGAGAAGTTACAAGAGAAGGCATGGGGTGCGGTTGTCCCACTAGTAGGCAAATTAAAGAAATTTTATGAATTTTCTCAGAGGTTAGGTAAGTTGAAAGTTTTGTAATTATAACTTCCCTAGTGAAAAATGCATTTATTGCCGGGACCGGTTTGGCTCAGTGGATAGAGCATCGGACTGCGGACTGAAAGGTCCCGGGTTCGATTCCGGGCAAGGGCATGTACCTGGTTGCAGGCACATCCCCAGTAGGGGGTGTGCAAGAGGCAGCTGATCGATGATTCTCTCTCATAGATGTTTCTAACTCTATCCCTCACTTTTCCTCTCTGTAAAAAATCAATAAAATATATTAAAAAAGAAAAAGAAAGAAAAAAAAAGAAAAATGCATTTATTGGTGCCACCAGAAGTAATTTAGAGTATTTTATGTTCACATTGCTATATTAATGTGCTATATATGTGAAGCAAGTTCGTTAGACTGTGGATATTACAGCATAAACCTAGGTCTTTATTTAGACTGTTGTCCCCGACACATTAGCACTTCCATAAGGCAAGCTATGCTTTCATTGCAGTCTAAAGGGTCCTAACGAGAGAAGCCACTTGGTAGAAGTCCTCTCCAGCAAACCCTCTCTCCCACATGCAGGAGCTAATCCGTAGGCCCTGCAATAGTTAGATTTTGATGTTCTTAAAATCATTGCTGATTAGGATCAGTTAGTGGATGGATCTAAAACTACAGGTTGAGAACTAGGGAGCCAATAGGAAAAGCCACTGTGAGACCCAAACTGTGCCTTCACTACAACCAGTAAACAGTTGGGATTCTCTTCCTTGGAGAAGTGGTCAAAGTGAGATCTAGACATCGAGCTGCTGGTTAATTTGAAAGCTGTACATTGGAAGGGCTTTCTGTGTGACATTGTGGACATACTGGAGGAGCAGGTTAGGTATATCTGAAATTTGAAAAATGTAAATAGAAGTTTTTGACACGTTTTATATAGTTTTGAATCTCATAAAGATGTTATATGTTTTAAGTGAATTTGGTAAGAAACCATGCAGTAAGGTAAGAGTCAACCTGGGGGCTCATGCACTAAGTTTAGGCCTGAGATGTGATTTCTTGGAGCCCTAGTTTTAAAAAAATTCCTCATCAGATGCCAGGTTTAAAACTTGCTAATTCTTTGTGTTTTGGTGTTAAGTCTTGAGTTATTTGATGAAATCAGTAGTTTAAGTGCCAGTTGGTCAGTTCATCTGCATGTCAGTTGCCCGGAGCTAAGTGACAAGCATCTCTATTTATTACTTAGAGCATCTGCTTTCTAGTTTAGTAGGTTCCCAAGGCTTCCTGGTTTTTATATCTTGCTTTTCATATTCTTTTATGTTAGGTCCTTGGCCATTTGTGTTTGCAACTTTTCCTTTAAAGTTTAAGTTCTTTTTTTTAAAAAAAAAAAACCTATTTTTTTTTTTTTAATAAGAGAATTGCTATTTTTCTTAGATACAGTATGCACTGTTAAGTATGAAGACATATATTGGTTGAGATAGAAGTATTTGGTAAATTATCCTTTTCTAACTAAAGATAAGAATTGTAATTTATTTTCCTAAGCACTGCAGTCAGCTTTTTTATGCTATTTGCCTTTCAGTCAAATATCTCTATCGTCTGTAGCTTGGTAGCTTCAGACCACTGGCTTTGGCCTTGTAATCATGGTGGTCAGGACTCCTTCATATTTAGAGAGTTTTCTGTGCCTCTGGTTTCTGGCTGCATTTATAGTTGAATTGCTTTAGATGGTGCTGTTGTCTTACTAAGGCTCACTCTAGTCTCAGCATTTACCAACGAAGAAAGGACAATTATAAAATAGGCCAAACCAGTCGTTTTATCATACCAGGAATTGAATCGGGCTCCTGGTAGGGGTTCCATCATGGGTGCTATGATCCATTTCAGCAGAGGCATGTGGTAACACAGGTAATAAATAGCTAAGAGCATCAGTGTCCATGCTGTCACCTTGAGTCTTCATCATGGTACTCTGGGGCCTCGGTAAAGTCAGGAGCATTGTATGCATTTAAGACCTGATGGCTTACTCCTCATATCTTGTCCAGTAACCTGACTAGCAATGCTTCCAGTTTTTGCTTACAGGATGCATATCTTTGCTTGCATATGATAGGAACTCAGTGCTTGTTGAATGAGTGATGCATTAATGAACATACACATCTGCTATATCAAATGTGTGTTGGGTATTTAGGAGAAGAAATAAATGGATTTTAGGCTTTGGTGGCATAATGGCCTATGTTTGAATTCTGGTTTGTTAGCTGTGTGGTCTTGGCCACATCTTGGTTTAAATTCTCTGAACTTTAGTATCCTGTCTGGTCCTCCAGTCTGTTGCGTCTTCTGCTTTATGTCCACTAAACCTCTCTAGTCTCTTCTCTTCCTACCTCACTGTTGAGCCAGAGATGAGGATAAACACCACAGACAGCACACAGAGCACCACACCAGCATCAAATGAGCATGGTCCTTCAGAATCCTGCAATCTCAAGGAGAGAGTGGCTTGGCCTGGGCACTGCAGATTACCACAGGGTGCATTCCAGAAGAGGGAACTCGATCCCTTGCGGCTTATTTATGGAGGGACAGGAAAGGGGTCACTGAATAATCTGGAAGATACTTAGCTTTGTCCATAGCCCTTACTCTTGCTGGCCTGGGAAACACCCTGTCCTTGGATATTGGTCTCAGGCCTTCCTGGTTGAGACATAATATGAGGGAGGTTACATGATTAGACAGTAGACAAACTGTGTTGTCTCTTCTCAGTCTTTCTCCCTCCTGTTCAGGGACTTATTACAGAGACCACGTCCAAGGGTCATAATGAGTGAGTTTATGCAGCACGTTGAGTCTTGGTCACAGGGCTAAATGTACCAAAATCTATTAAAAGGTCTCCTAGTGCCCACAATAATTATGGTCATGTCTCTTGGCTGTCCTAAATCCCCCCAGACCACATCCTTTGGGTCCTCTTCTGAGGATTCAGCGACTGGTCTCTGATACTAGGTGGATGGCAGTTGGTGAGAATAAATGGCTCTTGTCTCTCAAGGGGAACTTTCTTCTTGGTCCTGAGCTTCAGCCATTCATAGAAGTTCTCTTAAGTTCATTGGCCAACCCAACTTAGTCATATACTTGAGTCCACCGCTAGAGGGCAATGTCTCCTGTCTACCAGAGTGGTAGAGTGCTTTGAATGCTGAAATTAATCCCGAGACTTTATAAAATCTAGTAAATGCAAAAATTTTTGTAACAGTCCAGTTTTTTTAAATAGTATTGGTGGGTGTGTTTTCTTAAGTGTTCTTTCCTGCTCTCATCTCTCCCAAACTTTGCTTTCTACTAACATTAACTCTGGTACACAGAATAAATCGTGGGAGACATAAACCATTTTTCACAGTAGCCAAAAAATCTTATTCCTCTTAATTGATTTTTCACATCCACATTGCAGCTCTAGGAGCCAGCCATAGGCCTACAATTCATTCTCCACAGTGCAGGTGAGGTGGTGAATGTAAATGCTAATCTGTAATGCCCCTGTTTACATAGTTTTTCCAGGGATATCAGAATGACAAGGCCAGGGTGCTCATATGGCACACACATTATGTGCATACTAGAGGCCCAGTGCACAATGAAAGGAAATTAATTAGAAGAAATATTTTAATAGTGCTATTCACCCTTTCTCCATAATAGAAGTGTCAACCAAATTCACTGTCCACAATGACAGATGGAAACACATGTGTGCAATTGTCGCCAGCGAGCGCTTTATATATATAAACTTGTTTAATTAGACTTGCTTTCTGATGCAGCTAAACTTTTTCCAGCCCAGTGAAGCACCCCAACTTCTCTTTCAGGTCATTGTCAGCAACATAGCAGTAAATATCAACACAAAACAGATTATTATTGTAGATGATGCAGGGAAAACAAAGGGTGAAATATTTAACTGTAGACTGCTATCTATTTGACTATATTCTAAGCAGTGAGAGAACCTGAAGTCAGGTCCAACATTTCTTCTCTTCAGTTGGGTCAAGTTTCTAAACTTTCTAAATTCCGTTTTCCAGCTAATGAAAAGAAAATAGGATTCTACCAAGTCTCTATCTATCTATACTCCAGGACTTCTGTGAGGATCAAATGAGATGAGGCATGGGAAAATACTTCACAGACATTTGGTTAAAGCGTGAAATGTTTTCACCTTGCCCTAAATGGTTTGGCTCAGTGGATAGAGCATTGGCCTGTGGACTGATGGTTGGAGGGACACTTAATATTGACCTTTTATTCAGAGAGAGATTGTTTTAATCTCCTCCACGTGCTCTATCCACCGGTATTGGTATTGCAGTGTACTACGTCATGCTTTGGCCCCAGCCTTGTCTGCACACTCTTCGTCATCCTTAGTGGACAATCCATTCTCAGCTCAGATGTCACTTACTCAGGGAGGTCTTTTACTGAACTTCAACTAGATGAGGTCCTATTTTATATCTTTCCATAATACCAAGCATTTCTTCTTAACACACATCACAAATGTAATAATTTCTCTTTCTTTTCTGTATAATCAGGCTCCAGTGGCCATAGGGAGCTGACTATCCCGTCATCTCTGTTTCCCCAGTGCCTGGCACATAGTAGGCAGTCAATATGTTTTTTGACTTTTATAAAAGGATATTATCTACCATTTGGAGTTATTGTGTGGATGACAGATAATGTCTATGTAGTGTCTAGCCCAGTATCTGGCACATAAAAGACACATAAGTATGTATGGCTGGTAGTAATCAGATTAATATTTCATGAAGTTACAGGCGGCCAGGCAGAATGCTGCTTTATTTGAGAGACGGCTTAATATGGTGGAAAGATAGGCCTGTAGAGTCAGAAACACCTGGCATTTGCTAGCTGCACTCTTGGGGTCTAATCTCTTTGAAACTCAGTTTATCCACGGGATATCCATGTCATAATTGATGCTGAAAGTTAAATGAGAGAGTGGGTTAAACTCACTGGATGGGTGTTGGTTCACCATTAAGTAAGTCTTCATCAATAGGAGAGCTGATATTTTTTTAAGTTAAGGGTTGATGATCTAACAAATTTATTATCATTAAAAAATTCTTGTTTATTGACCTGACACTTACTCATTAATTTCTGATCATCATCTGACTCTAAGCTGTTTTTTTTTTTCTGAATAGAGTCTAGCATTGTTTTTTGATTCTGTAATCTGTAACTAAGTTAGTGTGATTTCTATAACTTTTTTTGAATGAAATGCCACTATTTACATTTTTAAATTCAATATTGATTAACTTGGCATTCCAAAAGTAGCACTTATTTTAAAACCATTTTTCTTAAACTCAGAAAGCTAATTATTAAATCAAAATATTTGTTTCCTTTAGTAATTGAAAGAAAACAGTTTCTGTTTATAAATAAGCAGCAAATTCAAAGTATGAGAAGTTGGTCCTTCGTTCCTAGCCATGGACAGATTTGACCGTGTGGTCATAGGGCCACTGTAGACATTACTTGGCTGTGGGTAACAATGACCATTTCATAACAGTCAACACTGCAGATTGGTAAATGTATTATAGTATAAAGGGCGCTCTCTGATCCTTTTACATTTTGTAAAAGGTTCCATTTTGCATTACTTTAAATTTGAGTTTATAGATTACAAAACTGAATTAGTCTCTCTAAGGTTTTTATTCTAAATAGTATCAGTTTGTGTGATTGTATTTAGATGATCTGGATTTTAAAAGGAACTTGCATGGAATTTGAAGTCATAACATTTATAAATTGTTCACTTTCTAATTAACAAATACCAGGAGATACAAACAACATTTAAATCTTTTCTTTTTTTCCTTTAGAAGCAGCATTAAGAGGCCTTCTGGGAGCCTTGACAAGTACCCCATACTCTCCCACCCAGCACCTAGAGCGAGAGCAGGCTCTCGCTAAGCAGTTCGCAGAAATCCTTCACTTCACACTCCGGTTTGATGAACTCAAGGTAGGATTCCTGCTGGCCTTGACTTTATGAAAGCATGTGTCCCTCCTAGAACATCAGGAGGGACGCGTGGAGACCTAGCTGAAATGTGCTTAAGTGATGGCTGATGTCCTTAGCAAAAAGGAAACTGGGTATAAAAGTCATGGCAGGCCTTTTGATACATGCATAGCAAATTACCCAATATTCAACCTTCACTTAACTTCGTTTAAAAAAGATCTCTGAAAGAATATTGATCTTTTCTGATATATTTTTTTCCTTTCTGCTCACCTCCAGTTTATCTCAATTTTCTTTTATATAAAAATGTTAACTCCTGAGTTTACCTATCTATGTGCTTGTCTGCCTGCCTCCCTCCACTATGGGAGGGGTGTGTGTGGAAGCAAGCACTAGCTCTCCCAGCACCTGGGAGCAGGCCCTGTGACTTCCCAGGCCCTCGGATGCCTTGCCTGGGAAATGGAAGAGCAGGATTCCTAACTTCAGCCTTCTATGATTACATCTCAGACAGCTGTTCTCTTTTATTAACACTTACAGCACAGATGATTTACATACACAATTTTAGTCTGTCTGGAGATTGTCCTGTTGACCATGTATGCTTGTTTCTGGTGTAATTCCAAAGCAAGTGCCTGCAGAGTTTTTCTTGTTTTCGTCTTTTGGTAATCCTATGTTTTGGCAAAGCACCTTTTAGTATATTAAGTGAAATTATTGAGAAAAAGAAGGGAAACTTACCATGACTAAAAAACAGTCTGTACATTTTTAATGTTCAGTGGGGACTGAGTGTATTGTGAACATGATTTACTTGTTCACACACCAAAAAAAGCCATCTTGGTGATACCAGTTTTATTTGTTAAAAGTGTTACTACAAATTGGGAATGCTACTTCACTAGTTAAAAGTGTATTTAGTAGATTTTCACTTAATTTTTTCAGTATCATTTATTACCTACTCCATTATTCTTTCACAACTGTCTTCTTTAGATGACAAATCCTGCCATACAGAATGATTTCAGCTATTATAGAAGAACATTGAGTCGAATGCGGATTAATAACGTTCCAGTAAGTTAACACTTTGAATTAGGGGTGGTAATAATAACTCATCTCTTGGTTAGTACAAGTTCTTCTTTTATTTGTTCATTTGCTCATTCATTCTGATAAAATTAAAGCTAGTAAGCAAGCTGTGGGCCACCACAGGTGTGGGAAGAAAGAGCAAAATGTAGGAAACCATATGGTATTGACTCCTCCGACACACTTGTTCTCTTAAATTTCTACGACTACAATAAAATTTTTTGTCTATGTGACATTGATGCCGGATTTCTCTGTGTAGTCTCATTTTAACGACATAATAATTTGTGAGTTGGTGGATTTGAGTGTTTTGTCCCCATATTCATCGAATGGAAGACTCCGGGGAGGAACCGGTCTGGGAGAGTGTGGCTGGGGGTCTGGCTGGCTGAGGGAGTGGCTTCTGTGCCTGCTCCTGCCTAGCAGAGCACTGCTTCTGCTGCTTTAGGCGCATGAGCCTCTGGACTCCTCCTCCTCTCAGCTGTTTCATACCCTTTCTGCTGCGGAGGAGTCAGAGGTCTGTCATGAGGAAAACCTTAAATTTGAAGAAATATTACATTTTTCTCGATATATTGAGGACCTACTTGTGTGAAAAAGAGGGAAATTTCTAGGATCAGCCCTAGCCTCTAGTAGACAGTTTAATAAAGAATACTGCATAGATGTATGAAAAGATGCTGAGTGGCACCAGAGGTTAAAAACACCAAAGGACGCCATTCTTTTTCTTCTTCATTGATGAGTGTTGTGTGAGGTGGTTGCTCCTAAGACAGGTCCTGGGTTGGGGGAAGAAGCAGCTGTGCCTTGCATTGGTTAGATTTTGCGAAGCCCAGTTGCTGCTGTGAGACTGCCTATCACCTGCAAATAAAGTAAAAGCACCACACTCAGTGCTCTGTGAGAGCCGTCACTCAGGGCCAGAGACACCAGTCATCTTGAACTGTCATTCGATATCAACAGTTTTAAGTCAATTCGGTCCTTGCCAAGTGAGGAGTCTCTCCAAGGGCTTCCCCGTGTCACCTGCTGACTGCATCCCAGGTGGAAGCCCCCCGCACGCCCCTTTCCACAGTCGTTCTGTAGCCGGAGAGCTCATTGTCTGACCGGTGGTCTTCTTTCATGGTACACCTGCCCACGGTCATCAGCTTGCTTGCTTTACAACACTGATGTTGTCATTCCTTTTCTCTGATGTTTTACCTGGTTCACCAGCGCAGACAAGATGTTAGGCAGCATTTAACGCCCTCTCCGTCCACCCCACCTTCCTTCCCAGCCTGTCTTCCACTATTGCTGTTTCTTAGTACCCGGAACACATCGAGTTACGTGGAATTACACTTCCATGTCATTAGCGAGCATGCTCTTCCCCTCCACCGACGGGGTGAACCTGCCCAGCATCACCTCCAAAGCCCAGCCCGCCCATGAGTCCATTTTAGTTTCTTCCAGCCCAACTTAGCCTCACCCTCTCCGTGCTAGTGTGGGTGCGTGTGTTCCCTGAGGGGCAGGGTGCGATGTCATAGTCACCCTCCCATCCTCCACAGCATATAGAGTGATCCTGGTACCCAGAGCCAGCCTGTCAGTGTCCTATTTCATTGCTTAATATTTAAAATGCAGGGTGGGGCAAAGTATGTGAGTATGCAAAACAGAGCTTATTGCATTACTCTTAGTGAGTTTTTTCTCATACGAACAACTGTAAACCTACTTTTGTCCCACTCCGTATTTTTTAAAGAGGTTATCTTTTATAAAAAGTTTATTGTCCTTTTTAATCTTTATTTTTGAAAACTACTTGAAGGTCTAAAATATAGTTTGAGTATTTATTAGACTAATTTAGCAAGCATGAGACCCTGTGTAATCATCTCTGGGCTGATGGCCAGGTGCTCTTACTTTCCATGCAGGCAGAAGGAGAAAATGAAGTAAACAATGAGCTGGCAAATCGAATGTCTTTGTTTTATGCCGAGGCAACGCCGATGCTGAAGACCTTAAGTGATGCCACAACAAAGTTTGTATCAGAGGTGAGCATTGCCGGGAAGTTTCTCTGTGGTGCTGCTCTGCCTGTCTGCGCACACAATGACGCAGCACGTCCCGAGACTGGGAATACCAGCTCTAAGCCCCTGCCCCGAGGCCCACGTGTGCACAAGGACCCACCTGTTTGCAGCCTCCCTCTGGGTGTATGGTTGACACCCCAGTCGTATTGTGACCAAACCAAAGTCTTGATTTTTCACCAACCCCGCCCTTGGCCCAGTCTCTCCTGTCTCAGTTGAGAGTACCACTGTAGCCCAGCTGGTATTGCTCTGGTTGAGGGTCGACCAACCCACCAAGAGGTCACTGGTTCAATTCCCGGTCAGGGCATATGCCCAGGTTGAGGGCTTGATTCCTGCTAGAGGGTGTGCAGGAGGCAGCTAATTGATGTTGATTCTCTCCCATTGATGCTTCTACCTCTCCCTTATCTCTCTAAAATCAATAAAAACACTTTTTTTTTTTTTTAAAGAGTACCACTGTAAAGGCAGATCTTGTTTTATTATGCTTCACCTTACTGCACTTCACAAATGTTGCATTCTTTACAAATTGAAGGCAAGACCTCCCACCCGCCAAGAGTACGACTCGCTTTATTGCAGTTGTCTGGAACCGAACCCGCAATATCTCCGAGGTCCGCCTATGCAAATAACTATGGCTAAATTCCTTTCTTTATCTCACCCCTTCAGACAGTCTTACCGGCTCCAGTATAAATGCTGAATCTGAAAACTGAACCCCTCTCTTGCTTCCTCTCCACATGAGCCCACTCCCTCTCACCTGGATGACTATTCTGATTGCTCTTATTCCACTCTGGCCCCTGGTAGTCCTTTCTCCATAGAGCAGCCAAGTCTTCTTAAAACAGAAACCTCGTTTCCTTCCTCTGCTCAGCATGTTTCCAGTGACTTTCCAGTTCCCTTGAGATGAAATCCACACAGTCCTGGCCTCCAGCCCTGTCTGTGTGCTGCGCTGTTTCCCCAGCCTGAATGCACGCCTCTCGGAGACAGGCCACAGCTGCCTAGCTGGGCTATATCCTCAGAGCTGAGAGCAGTACCTAGGATCAAAATGAAGAGTAGGAACCAAATATTAAAGTTGCCAATTTTTCATGTTATGGTAGGTTTTATTATAGCTATATATATATACACCTATATACTAATTCACTTTCACTCTCTGTTTTCCATGCACCTTGACAGAATAAGAACTTACCCATAGAAAACACCACGGACTGTCTGAGCACCATGGCCAGCGTGTGCAGAGTCATGCTGGAAACGCCGTGAGTATCGTGTGGGCCAGTCTCTCACTTGCATAATCCTGAGGAATGGTTGCCCAGATGGGAACATGTCGTAATTGTAAGGTGGAAATTAAGGCAATTCCAGGTAACTAGTGTAATATTTGAGCAAAATTAAAATAACTTGGCAGCTTCATGGAACTTCTGGTTAACTGTCGGTCCTGCTGCTTTTCAGGTGCCTGAGACCAGCCAGACTAACTGAGACTCTTCCTAATGGAGATTTTGTGGGGCTTTGGGGGAAGGGGAGGAGTTTTAATGCTCTTTCCGTTTTGGTTTTTATAAACATTCTCTACTGCTCACCCCCTTTCCTCTGTATGAGTCCTCAGTCTTCATTTTTTCACCACTCGCCTGAGTGTCCTCCTGGGTTCTCCTCTCACGCCGTTCAGGATGTCTGCCGCATGCTGTTGTAGGCAGAAAGACTCCATATGGTCTTACTTATAACCGGGGCTTTTGTGGAGCTTTGCGTTTTCCACAGTACTATTGTGTACCCCGCCTCCCAGGAGACCTTAGGAAGCATGAGGGCATCTGTTCACCCTCCTTCCTCTCTTCCTCCCTTAGGAGGTGAGGCCTGGGGAGTGAAGGCACTTGTGCACAGTGACCGACCCCATAAGCGCAGGACCCTTCATCCCTGGCCAGAATTCTCTACTGGGGCAGGAGGCCTTTTATATGGACAGATGAGAGAATAATACAATCACATTTTAGGGAATTAAAATCCACTAATGCAGTAATGTGTTGAGATAAATCAGCCCAGACACACTCGCTCAGTTAAGCTGGTGACTTTTTCATCACATTGGTGATAGCACTTATTCACAAACTTTCACTTGGGAGCTATTTTGGGTTTCTCAAAAATGGTCTGATCTCTGCTAGCATAGTATACTCAGGTGCATAGAGAGACCGTGGGAGGTAAGTGCTGACTGCCCCCCACCCCTGGCTGGGAGCGCTATTACAGGGAAGAGGGGCGGCTTCCTGTTAGCACCTCTCAGGTTAACAGTGTGTCTTCCAGCATCAGCTTGAGAGTTGAATCAGCGCATTCGTTTGTGACGAGCCTCATGCATCGTGTCCTCTCTGCCCTCAGGGAATACAGAAGCAGGTTTACAAACGAAGAGACCGTGTCGTTCTGCTTGAGGGTAATGGTGGGCGTCATCATACTCTATGACCATGTACATCCAGTGGGAGCATTTGCTAAAACCTCAAAAATTGATGTAAGTGGCCTTGTTTCATGTAATTCCCATAATAAAAGCCAGAGGCTGTTTGACGTGAAGAGCCGGCAGGCGGCACCGTCACGGAGCCCAGGCTGCCAGTCTGTGATGTGCTGGCCTCCTCCGGCAGTGTTCCTCCAGCCTGGGTACAGGCGGGAGAATGACGGAAGGAGTGTTGTCGTTTAGAGCACGTCCTTGTAGGGAGACCTCACACTCCTGCATATTGGGCAATATAAATAATCTGACATTAGAAAAAAATTGTATCCTTTCATTTGTTTGACCAAAGGCCATTTCAAACAAAGGATTTATATCTAAACATGCAGGGTAAGGTAAAAGTAGATTTAGCTTTATAAGTACAGAAACAGAGTTTATTCTTGCATTAATTATTAGTTAATTGCATTATTTTCCATGGGGACGATTATAGGCCTATCTTGCCCACCTATATGTGAAGCACCAGTAAAGGTGCTCCAGCTAATACAGGTGAAGACCACACATTTTCCCTCCTGCAGTCCTAGTAATCGGTGGCTCTGGCCAGGTTTCTCTGTTCTGTAACTTCTCTCCCTCTCACCTGTTCATCAGAATTATGACCAGGGCTGGCTGGGAATTGTCTTCTGGGTCCCTTTCCCAGCGGGGCAGGCTCTCAGCACTCCTGTCTGGATTGCTGACTGCCTGCATTAGTGCCCATTATGTGGAGAAGTGAGTTCATTTGTTGAGTGATTACTGTGTCCCAGGAATTTTTCACTCAATCTTTCCGAAATTACTCCTAAGGGAAATTTAGGGAAATGAAATAATACAATGGCTCGTGAATGGTGAGCAGGATTTGGGTATTTTGAGCCCATGTCACCATGTGTGTCTATCTGAAGAGCGCCTTCTTTCCTTGCCGGGTGTGTGTGTGTGTGTGTGTGTGTGTGTGTGTGTGTCCCTCTAAAAGGCCACTCAGCACCTTTAGGAAGTCCTTCCCTAGCTCAACTGGATTTCTCATTAGTATTGTTGACTGAGTTGGGTCTTAAAAAGTTTTATTTGACCAACGGAAAATAATAAGACTTGGGTATTTTTTTCTGTTTAAAAGTAATTCCATTTGTAGTGTGAGTTCTGTGGTTGCGGTGCTAGTGTAAGTATTAATGTTTTGAAAGTCATGTTAGATGAAAAAAGATTTTCACCTTTTCTGTTTTCTCCTTAGATGAAAGGTTGTATCAAAGTTCTTAAGGACCAGCCTCCTAATAGTGTAGAAGGTCTTCTCAATGCTCTCAGGTGGGTAAATGTCCCTGCACATGTGGGTCGGAAAGTGCGTGTAAGAACGTGCTTCACAGTGTGCGGAGCACAAGGCTGTGAACGTAAATGTTCACGTTAGGAACGTAAAGCTCTCCTTCTTATTGGTAATTTTGCTTCAGCTACCTAGTAAGCATATGTTTGTCTCTACTTCTCTAAGCATTTACTTTGAGTGCAGATATTTCTTTAATTTTTAAATTGATTTGAAACTAACCTAATAGGAATAGAGTTTAAATTTCTTAAATTCAGAGACGGTGTATGTGCCTGTTTATAATGATATATTCCTGTGTGAGATTCTTGTAAGCCAAGTTGATAGAGAGTAAGTTCTGCCTGAGCTATCTCCACGACATAGCCCACGTTCAAGCCTTGGGACCCTGTTTGCATTGCTCCTCGTCTGGTCCGAGCTTTGGTCACCTGGACCATGTAACAGCACCCCGGTTAGTCCCACTGCTGCTCCTTCTGCTCCCTCGGCGCCATAGCAACCCTTTGAGAACATCAGTGAAGTCACATCGCTCCCCTGCTTCGTATCCTGCCCTGGCCCTCACTGCCCTCAGAATAACCCCCACACTCCTCCCTGGGCCCGCAGCCTCTGCGTGAGCTGGGCGGTCCCCGCTCGGGCTTCCCTCCTTTGCAGGCAGCTCACCCTTCTGCATGCAGGTATCTTATCATCGCTCTTCTCTGCTCGCTTGTGAGCTCCTGGAGCCGCCTGGCACATAGTAGGCTTGCTTATTGGGTTTCTGCTGTTACAGAAATCCTGTCGTGAATCTTCTCTTAAAATACTTCTAGTGATTCTTTTTAGATTCTTAATTTGTATTTACAAACTTAGAGCAAAACAGCCCTGCCTGGAAATAATGTGCTTGAAGAACTGAGACATGGATGTGGCAGGTAGAACTGTCCTGAAGATGAATGCAGGACATTCTCGCTGTGCGGGAGCGAGGAAGTGGGCATCTAAGCTCTGTGGGCCACGTGGCCCTGTCCCAGCTCCTCAACTCTATGCGTAGTGAGAAGGTAGCCACAGGCCATGCTGAAGAGACTCCGTGTGGCTGCGTTCCAGTAAAACTGAAAACTCAGTTTGTATGATTTCCATGTTAACATGAAGTATTACTTATGTTTTTATTCACCCCCACCCCAGCCACCTAAAAATGTCAGAATACGCTCAGCTCATGGGCCATACAAAAATAGGTAGTAGGATAGATTTGGCTCAGAGGCTACAATTTTTCTGGCTCAGAGGCTACAATTTTTCGACCCCTGAGTTAGAACAATGATTTTCCTCTGAGTGAGAAGTTACAGTCAATTGTTTACTTGAGAATTTAAGCAGATATTCCCAACAGGGCAGTTCTAGCCGTTTCCCAGCTGCGGGCTCTGTGTCGGAAGGCCATGGGAGGACCAGCGCGGAGCCTGAGCCCGCTGACGCTGGGAGGGAAAGGCCTAACAGAGAAGGTGGCCTGGCCAGTTGCTCAGCTTCTCATAGAGCCGGATGCCAGTGATGTGTGTTTTTAACTCCATACATGGGTGTTTTTCCCGTTAGGTACACAACAAAACATTTGAACGATGAGACTACCTCCAAGCAAATCAAATCCATGCTGCAATGACACTCCGGAGCGAGCGCCTGCGGTGACCGCGGATGCAGTTTTTAGTGATTGCAATTACTCTCTCATTTACTCCCGCTTTATTTCTTTCTCTGTCCCTCTGCCCTCTTTTTTAATCATGTTCTTGTTCTTAAGACTTCTTTTCTGTGCCAAAATCTGTCAAGCTATACCCTGGAGGGGTTGCCTTTCAGACAGGCCGCCTGAGGCAGCTAATCATGCATCGCATTGGGGTCTCCACTGAGAGAAATTCTGTGACTTGAACTAAATATTTTTAAATGTGGATTTTTTTTGAAAACTAATATTTAATATTGCTTCTCCTGCATGGCGAAACTGCCTACTCTGCTATTTAAAACCCTCAATGACTTTATTTTCTACTGCCGCTTTTTCCATGTGCAGCCAAATGAAAATGTTTAAATTAATTGTGTTGTACAGATGGTACCCAACACAAAAACTTTTTTTAAATTAGTAAGACTGTTGTTTAAAGTTTTAAGTTTGCATTTTGACCTTTTTGTAAGGATGTATGTTGTGTGTTTAACCTTTATTAACTAACGTTAAAACTGTGATGTGTGCGTAGAGTATTACGTATGCATGTTCATGTTTAAAGAATGGCTGTTGATAAAATAAAAGTCAGCTTTCATTTTTCTAAGTGTGGCCTGGTTTCCTGAGGTTTGGTTTTAGGCTTCCAGGGCTATCCCATTGCATATTTTCACGAAATGCACGTAGACATTACACATTCTCTCTTCTATTAGGAGAGTGCTGGGTCTGTGAATAGCATTTTTCTTTAGTATTGTCTGTGTGCACCCCATTTCCATTGCTTTCCCAAGCTTGCCGAGGGCAGTAAGACCAGCGATGATGGACTGCTACCCTGCTTCCCTCTTGTGGATGGAGTAACTGAAGGACGCCCACTCTTGCGTGGTCTGGTTTCCCAGGAGCGAGGGTGCAGCAGGCGCAGAGGGGGAGGAAGAGCCTTCATGCTGGGAAGGGAGCGAGCGTGAGGGGCTTCCAGGAGAAGCTGAAGGCCCTGATCCCCCGCGTGGGAGAAAACAAGCATGCTTGTCGTTCAAGGCCCTAAAGCCTTACTTGGTGAATGTGCAGATGGGAGACTCTGCTTAAAGGCTCTCTAGTCCACGCAGGCCGGTACTTTAATGAGGACAGAGTCCAAGCTCTGACACCATTAAAAGGGTTACCTGTGGACGCGGCTCCTGGAGGCTCTGGGCAGCCTCACGGCCCAGCACGTGCTCGCCCATTGCAGCCGCCTCTGCGCTCACTGTTGAGACTGTTGCACACCATGTCCCACGTATGCCCTGAGCCTGTCAACTTCCTCCCTCACATCCACCTGATCTTTTGAGGACCAGCCCTGGGGAGAGCATTCTCCAGTTTTTTCTGGGCCCTTCTGAGAGTATTGTTCTCGGTTAAATCGTGAACCCCCCAAAAAGTAAGCTCACCTGCAACCTGCAAATTCGACCTTATTGGGAAAGAGTTTGTGCAGCTGAAACTAAGGTTTGTAGTTAAGACTATCCTGGGTTGGAGTGGCATAGAGCAGAAGTCCACGGGAAGGTCCAGGCGGAGGTGCAGTGCAGCTACAAGCCAGGGAACACAGAATGGCTGGCACCGCCTGTCACAGGCCGGATTCTCCCTCAGCCTCAGCACCAAGCCTGTGGACACCTTGATCTCCAACTCTGTCTTCCAGGACAGACTAACCACTTGTGGGAATGCATTATGGCAGCCGGAGCAACTAGGACAGGTATCTCCACCAGCCCCCTTCGGTAACGTCCTTCAGGGTAATTTTTTTGATCCTCAGCACTCGAGGAGGGCCATGGGTGATGTTCCTTCCGCACCCCAAGGACCTTGTGCCATCCACAAATTTCAGGCAGGACCAGAGAACCAAACACAAATAAGAATGACACAGCCGGGACAAGGATCACCCTGTGGCCCGCCGCCAGCCCAGTGCACACCTGCGTGTTGGAAAGGACGGAGAACCCTAACTCTGCACCGGGATTCCCAACTAGTCTGCGGGCCAGCCCGCCCAAACTGCCTGTGTTTGTGAACTAAGAAGCATTTCTACATTTTTAAAAGGTTGGGAAAAATCAAAAGGACAACATTCGCGGCATGTGTAAAATATATGAGATTCAAATTCTGTCCATAAATAAAATTTTATTGGAACATAGCCTCATTGGGTTGTTTATGTGTCACTTTGAGCTACTTTTGCGACACCATAGTAGAAGAGAATTCTTGTGATTGGGGCCATGTGACCTTCAGAGTGAAAATATTTACCATCTGGCCCTTTACAGAGTTTATTGACCCCTCCTCTAATGATAAGAGCAAATTAATTTGAGAACTGAATGTCAGTCTTTTTTTATTTTTTATTCTTACCCAGGATATTTTCCCCATCAATTTTTGGAGAATGGAAGGGAGGGAAGGAGGTGGGGGGGGGGGGGGAGGGGGGAGGGAGAGAGAGAGAGAGAGAGAGAGAAACATTGATTGGTTGCCTTTTGCACTCAACCAGAGCCAGGGATTGAATCTGCAACCAAGGCATGTGCCCTTTACTGCGAATTAAACCTGCAACCCTTTGGTGCATGGGCCGACGCTCTAAGCATTGAGCTACACCAGCAAGGGCCCAGATGTCGATCTTAAATGTTATCACCACAGAATAAAGGGTACTTTTGTGAGGTGATAACCTAGTTGTGGTAATCACTGTATTATTCTCAATATATATGTGTATGAGATCATCACACCACATTGTACCCTTACATTTGTGTTATATGCAATATCTCAATAAAGAGGAAAAATACAGTAATAAAATTCAGCTTCCAGCTTCCCTTTAGAGACTGATTCAGAAGATATGATTCAGAAGGAATGGAGTGAGGTCAGGACTCTGCGTTTCCACAAATGTCTCAGGTGATTTTGATGCAAGGGGTCCCCATGGCACCCTGAGCACAGCTGGCACAGGTGGCCCTGAGGAGAAGTGTGGGGGCTGCAGGTGCGGGATGTGAGGCTCCAGCAGGGTTCCCCTCGGCTCCGCTGACCTGGCGGCTCTCCACCCTACACTCTTCACTTCGCAGATGGTGAGGAGACATGCTTTGCAGAAGGTGAGTTTCAGGCTGGGCAGATTTCTTTGCCTAGACTTTGGGCCCCCCAGAACCCTGATCCCGATTTGAGGGTTAAATGGAAAGCCTGTGTGTCACCCCAATTTTAACCGAAGAAGGCCTAGAAGGAAGGTTAGGATGTGTTATAAATTAATGGGTGATGGTGTGTTTGCAGTTTGACAGCCAAAGCCTTAGAAGTGACTTGAAGTAAGGCTTAAACTGAAACAAAGGGAGGTGAACTCTAGCTATTTGGGGACAGATTCCAGCTAGGAAATTCACCAAAGGAAGAAATTCCTGGCATGTGAACAGCTGGAATGAGGGAGGGAATTAATCGGAAAGTGAAGTCAGGTGTGTGCAGGCCGTTGTTGATCGTTATCATGACTTTATTTTTACTTGAAGTTGGATCGGCAGGTAGTACAGAGGTTAGATCCCCAGTGAGGTAACTGATGCACTGTTGAAAAGATGCTGCGTGTGGACAGTAGACAGGGCAGAAACAGGAAGTCTAGGGGATTGTGGTAATCCGGGTAGGAGTTGATGGTGGATGGGACGGGGCGTTGGTCCTGTAAGTGATGAAAAGCGATCAGATAGACCCTGGCAGAGTCAACAGCTGCAAGAGTGTTGGGACATGGCTTCCTACAGCTCTGACACTCAGAAGGAGTCAGGAAAGTAATTCTGAAACCGGCTGGTTGGTAGGGAGTGAGGTGGATAAAGAAGCAAGAGGTGAAAGGGAGGAAGCATGAGTGGTGGGAATCGGGGCAGCTGTGAGGCCTCCAGGGAAGAAATTCTGGAAAGATGGGTCACCATGCTCTCAGGGAATGTGTAAGGACAAGCTTACCTTCCAGTTTCCCGTAGTTTTCCATTTTTAGAAGGTGTATGGTTGGTGTCCCCACACTAAAGCTAATCATCCTTGGAGCTGAGGACTTCGTCTTACTAACCTTGGTACCCCAACACTAGAAAATGAGTACAATGTGTTGACCCCAAATCTAGAAACTAGCTGGCCAACTGGCTGGCTCAGTGATGGTGGGAGGACTCTGAGAAGCTCGTGTCCTGTATGAGGAAAAGGAGAGGGGATGCGGGGAAGAGCAGAAGAGGAGCTCATGACTGAACTTCTAAGGCCTTGGGGTGGGGAAGGGGAAAGAAGAGGAGGAGGAGGAGGAGAAGGGGAAGCAGGTGTGAGGCAGAGAGGGTCTGAGAGAAGTCCCCATGAAAGTCTGAACAGGGCCAACTGGAAAGAGCGAGTGGAGAATTTACAAGGAAACAACGTGCTGGGCAATGGCCACCC